ATTCTTCTTTTGCAGCAGTCGCCACTTGCCCTTGAGTCAATGTAGAGTTCTTTTTGGCCAACAGCTCACGTGATTTCCTTCTATAGATATCTTTGGCAGACCAGTTTCGGATCCACAAGGGGCGCCATTCCTCCCAGTCAATGACAGACACACCTTTAGCCTGGTGGTCTGGTATGTATGTATCTAGATCCTTAGACATTTTTTCAAGGTGCTGAGAGAGACTGACACTTTGTGGAAGGCCCCCATTCACTTCTGTGTCTTTAGTGTCATAATAAGGATAAATCCCGAGGTTGTCCTTATAGAACAATGTGAGAGCCTGCCCGACAACGCCCTGAGCTGGGGATGACACTATGTCAACCTGGTCTAATGATAACTTAACACGTTCTTGTGTCTCACAGTCCTGAGTGGGAGCGTTCCAGACAATAATAACTGGCTTCTTGGGGTGTAATGGCCAGCTTGTCTGCTTTGTGTCTGCTGAACCCAGGACTATCCATGATGTAAACAGAGCAAAGAGCAACCAGGACAGTCGGTCAACTGCAGAGAGGAAAGAAGGGTATACAGTCCTCATGGTGGTGCCACCGACCTTCACTCCTCTGTTTCCAAAAGACAAAAAAACTATGTGAAATTGACATACAACATTTAAACAGAAAAATCTATATTCTCTATATTGTTTGACTGTGTATTGTTTTAGAAAACAAAAAAAGTCTGAATTGGGTCACTTCAGGCTGCAGTGTGAACGTAACCTTTGTCAATTTAAGTTTGGTTCTTTCACAAAGAGCGTTCAGTCATGTTTCTGCAAACACAATATGACAAAATGATCATGGAGATGATGGCCTTGGTTTCTTACCATTTAAGATGTAAAGCAAATAGAGTAGCAGTTGAATCGGACACTGCAGGGAATCGACCCGGAGGCAATAAAACAAAACAAAACAAAACAAAACAAAACAAATAAACTAAGGCCCCGTTTACACGACAACGATTTCGGGGGAAAACGGAAGAGTTTTGTTGCGTTTGTAGTGTGCATTTACACGAAACCACTGAATGTTTTCTCTGACAACGGCAGAGATTGAAAACGGCTTCCAGAGTGTGATGTTTCTGAAACGTACCGTTTTCCGTTGTCGTGTAAACAGAGAAAACGGATCTGTTCGTCAGTATGACGCAAAACATAGCTGCTTCCTACAATCCACAGAAGAAGAAACTACTCACAATGCTGGTGTTATTGCTTCCCCATCACATACGGTTCCCTCAGTGTCTCTTCACCACACCACACCGCCCAGGTGGCAAAATACACGGCTGCTTGTTCAGCCCTCTTATCTAGAGAACTATGGACCAGCCCCGGCTCCAGACTAGTTTAACAGGGGGGCATCGACTTATTATTAATACTTTATTCGCTGCCATCTTAACGGTTGTAACAGCTTTCAGGTACAACTCCTTTTTTACGCATGGGCACCCAAGTTTCAAAGAATCTAGCACCAACTAGTGGTGTGGCAGGACATTACACGTTTTCGATGTGTACCGTTACTGTGTAAACACAGATCATAATTAGAACGTTATCGTGTAAATGATCCAACAAATACGGAACAATAGTGCCGTTTTTGTTGGATCGTTGTCGTGTAAACGCCCACTAAGGTAAACTTCTTTGACAAATTAATACTCAAAACAATACATCTCAGTTTCATTTCGTGTTTCAAAAATAAACAATCTTTCTGCTAGTTTAAATCATGAATTGTTTTCAAATTGTAATTATGATTAGAAAACTAACTTACAAAGTGTGTCTAGTAAACTGCATTAACTAATAATTGATTTATTAAATTTAAAATATTTTACTATTCCTAATAGGAATGTGTGGTGCATATCTATCTATCTATCTATCTATCTATCTATCTATCTATCTATCTATCTATCTATCTATCTATCTATCTATCTATCTAATAGATATACAGTTGTTTCTGTGTTTGCACTAGTGGACGTCAGGACCATTTCAGTGTATTTAACGACTCCACATTGTTGTAGGAGAAAGAAGTGAAGCAGGATTCTATACAAGATAGTAGAGGGAGATTCAGATCTGGAGTTGTCAGATGAAGATGAGGATAAGTATCAGACTCTGGTATCTGACTCTTCATCAGATCCAGGACAATCTGATGAAGAGACAGACTCATGGTGCGTTCACACCAAACGCGTTTTTAGCGTCAGGTCCATCTGGTTTACATTCACAGTCTATGTGGAACGTCATACAAACGGTTCAAAATGCGCCATGCTAAACGCTCAGAACGCGCCTCCATAGCCCTGTTTGCGCCTCCACATAGACTTTAAATGTAAAAGAAATGTGCCTGATGTTCAAAACAATTTTGGTGTGAACGCACCATCAGAGCCAGAGATAGCAGGAAAGTCGCCATGCTAGGTGGGCCAGGATTAATTTGTATGTCTGTCTAGGGCCAGACATTTGCGATGGGAATGTCCATTTCTTGGTTATTGGTCATAAAGATCTACGCCACCCTCCATCACTTCTGGTTGTCGTACCTGGAAACAAATTTTTTCTTTGTTTGACCATCGATTGCAAATATTGTTTAGATCTTTCCCGTAAATTGTGGAGGCCATCACCACCGGTTTATCGTCAAACCACTTTGTGACAGTCAGCTAAGAAGCTCCCTTCTGTTCACAGTGGCCCATCTTATGGTAACTTGTGTGGCTTTGCTATTATTTGGTTCATCATAATGGTTCCAGTTGCTGGAAGACCCTTTGAGAAGTTTGCAGAACTAATTCCTCATCATTTCCCTGTAACTTCACTTTTGATTATTTTTAGTCTAGAAGACTCTTAGAAAGCCAACATAGGCCATGTGTGCTGATATTCTGAAGAAAGTCCTTATTCATGTGTGTCACTTTCTACTTCTATCATGTTCAAAATAAATGAAAAAATAAACAATTAAATAAGTAAAAATAAATAAAGTCTTAATTTCTTGGGCAATAGTGTTTGGGGACCAGAAATGGATAACTTCTGGTTATTAAATGTTTTTTTGTTTGTTTTTTTTTTTTTGTTTTTTGTAAATTTGACCTCTTCTTGGGTTAATGTGATTCATTAATCGCTAATCTGTACATTTTTCCGTTTTTTTAAAATTTGGTCAAATTTTAGACTGAATCGTCCTGATGTCCACTACAATGGACATGCTGTGAAATTTTAATAAAAAATTAAATGAATGAAACAAAATGGTAAGGTGTTAATTTTGGCCTAAATAGGTAGGAAATCACATAAACACAGAAATTGCAAGGCAAATTTTCTTCTTAAGTTCTCAGGAGGATATGCATTTTTCCAGTTTTTAAGGATTTAATTGACCCATTACGTTTACTATAAAATAAACACAGAAAGAATACTTTCCAGAAAACACATACTGTAGTTTTAGTTCAATGTGTGCTGAAATGGAAACCTGTTACCATTTAAACCTCTGAATCCAAGCACTGAACTCCCACTGCTCTTGAAGTGATGCTTCCATAATGCAGTTTATTTTTGTTTTCAGGCCAGAAAACCAAAACTTTCCCTTTCGGTGCTGGCAGAGTCAGAGAATAGTTTTGTTTCCTGGTTTCCTCAATGAAACAGAGAGAGAAGTCCGAGTTGGAGAACAAAGCAGAGAGGCCACATCCCTAAAACAGAGGTGGCACCACTCTGCTCTCTTTCTCCTTTTCCTCCTTTTCCTCTCCACTCACAGCCTTCACCCTTGGTCCCGTTGTAGCACTGGCACTTGAAGTGCTGACGGAAGGCCTTCAGCTCTGCTTGGCCTGGGGATCCCCTGACCTTCAGCTTTCCGCTCTGACTTATGATCTTGTGAGTGGTGGGGCTGAGGTGCAGAAACACGGCGCTGTCCGGTGCTCGGCGAAGACAGCGACCGTTAAATTTGCACAATTTCTGGCTGCACTCCTTTGCTGCTGTGGTCACATTGAGGAGGTACCGTCCCATTGGTCCCCGAAAATAGTTATTCAAGTCAGAACAGCCGCTCTGCAGCACGGAGGATAGATATTAACTTAAAAATACATAACAGCAGCATATGCAACATGAGAGAACTAGGAAAAGTAATTCTCTTACACTAGATGCATAGGAGGAGCCCCCCCAGAAGATCACTCCTGCAGCTCCCAATGCAACGCTCTCGCCAATGGTGGAGACCAAATCTTTCTGCAAAGGATGTATATGAATACTTTAGTTGTATAAGATGTATTATAGAGAATCTGAGCTCTAGTTACATATAGAGCAATGGGTTATATAAGCAACTACAGCCCACAGTTAAATATATGCTGTACAAGCAATAATAGCTATTTTAAGGCCAAAAACATGAAAATTACATGAGTCATTATGTTTTATATCAATGAGTTGGAAAAAAGACTAATCTGGTGAAGGGTTACCTTGAATTCCCACCAAATTAACATAATTACATATAAAATGTCTGAACAACAGGAGCGGATTGGAACAGAAGCCAAATTATTTGAAGCGCACACACCTGGCCAGTAAACTTCATTCAGCAGGTGTAAATTAACTATTTAACTCTTCAATGGGATCTGAGCTAAACTATGTGTTTTTTATTTTTAATTGACAGACTGCTGGACTTCACCAGGTGACAGTTACTTCTTTACCATTTCATATTTTTTCACATTCTCCCTCATAACATCAATTTATATCCCCACGGGGCGTTTTGTTGAATTAGCAAGGAAGTAAATGGACTCAGAGCTGAACTCTGTAGATACCAGGGAGGTTTTATATTTTGGTACTTTCAGCCTCAGTTTGTCATGTAGCATGGTGTATTTAAATGAGCAGGCAAACTTTTAGAAATCTCATTTTAGGTAAGAAATACACACCAAATTTAGCTTTTTTATAGTAAAGCCCAACCTTAACGAGCTAACTGCAAATATAAAATGTTATGGGAAACTTTAAACATCAACTCCAAACTATTTGTCTTTTTTAAATAAAAAATATTTCAGTGATTTCCCTGGTTCAAATTATAAATAATTACTCATGATAGAAAAGTTTAAATGAAGTATTTTTGAACTTTGGTAATTATAGGAAACAACAAAAATCTGTATCTGGTAGGTCATAGTTTTACAAAAAGTGTAACTCTCCTCCTGGAGCTGCTGCCTAGTGGCTGGTGCAGAGCGCGGCAGGTGTATTTATATGGGTGGAGCAGAGACATGTAGAGGGAACATATCGGGCTGCTTTAGCTGATGCTTAGATTAGGTTTACGGACGAACAGGAAAATAAATTTCCTACCATCCCGGTCACAACAGATGGTTTGCGTGAGTTTCTCTGTGTGTGACGAAGGTGCCACACAGAGAAATTGACACAAAAGCTATAAATGGATGGGAAAAGTGAGAGTTAATCTATAAAACTGACTGAATATCAAAATATAGACTAAAAGATGGAGTACAGACAATTTCTATGTTTCTTTATGTTCCTGCTATTTATCATTACATTGAAAATAATAAATTTTTGTTTAATTGTTATCCCGGTTAACTTAAAAAGTGAGGTGCTACTGTTACAGGCTAATTTTCAAGGCTACACAAAAGTAAATGTTAAGGCTCCACACATAT